AGTGAGGTATCGAGGTTTTACTGAATTAGGACAAAGTCTCTCCGAGACATGAAGCTTTCAAAAAATGCATGCTTTATACGCTATCTGTGGAAAACGGCCTATACATTGAGAGCTTCATATCTCTGAGAGACTTTGTCCAAAAGTTCTGAAAATTTTTGTGCAAACTAGTCTAGCTGAGGTGTTTATGTGGACAAAGTTTCAGATCAAAAGTAAAAAATATGGCCTTGCTGCAAATGTGGGGTCTTATAGGAAAAATTCACTAAAACCTCGATATCTCACTAGGAACAAGCTAGGGGCACGAACTTTTTTTACGGTAGACATAATTCATCAACGCCTACAAGATGCCCAAAGTCCCGACTCAAAAGCGTTCCAACACCTTGGAATGTTCTCTTGTCAGTGAGATTAATTAAAAACTAAAATAGTGCGTGTTCCTAGCTTGCATGGACAGAAGCCTCACTGCTACATAGCTGGAAGAAAATTGGATTTTTTTGATTTTACTACAAGAAAATGAAGATTGAAATTTTGAACATGGAACTTTCATTCAATATTACAAGTTTGGCTCATATTCAGTCAAAAAAATGAGATTGTAGATGCAGATAAACGTGCCTTCTTTTTACTGACATCCACGTCGACACGAAAAATTTCATTTTCTAACACGTAGATTGTGATAAGATCTCCATTCAGACATGCCGTGGACACAAACTCTTTTACAGTCTTCTTAGTCTCACAGAGCTCTAATCAGAGCTAAAGATGTGGTCGAACGGCGTCCAAAACTTATATGTGTTCGGTCGTTGGACAAGAAGCTTCATGAATCAATAAATTTAGTCTATTAATCATCTCTGCAAATTGTAGAGTGCGTTTGCCTTTTTTTGTTATAAAATAAATCGAATGCATCAAGAACAGTTATTTTATATAAAGTTCACGACCATCAACTTACATTTACATGAAACTAAAAAAACGGCAATAAATAAAAGAAATTGTTATAATTATTTATCTTTCATGTCGCATGTTTGTTCGCACTACTGCCGGTATAGGAATGATTTACCTGTATTAATGCTTTCAACTTCCCATTTCAGCTATAAACGGTTGCAAAGAGTCGTTTCTACTCAAGTTCGCATTATTTATTAGAGAGAAGCCAAATTAACTGAGAAGAAAACAACTTCAAAATATATTGAACTAATAAAAACTTATTTTATAACTGAGGCTGATTCAGACAGACTTTGTGGCTAATACATACGGCTTCGACATATTCACATTATCAAAGTGCATTGAAAACAACTCAATTCTATTCGTGTTAGCAAATTTCAAAAATATTTACATGTTTTAGGACAACACACTAGAATACAATACTTCTAAAAAGAGCCAACAGTCAACTGCCTATATAGAGCGCATTATACCGATAGAAATAATGACAGTATTTGCTTAGTAGTTATCATAAGGGTTGTTTTGTTTTCACGATAAAACATTCAAGTATATTTACTTATTCTTATCTGCTAAAGTTCTCTCGCAAAGGCAAGTAACAGTGTCAACGTGGGTATTTTTCATTACGTAACCATTACTACTACAGACATTTCAAAGAAAAATTCTATTACTTAGTTGCAGTAAAAAAAAAAGCAAAACAAACTAAGAAAATGTCAGTAGCACCCGTAAACGATATTGATCAATATATTAAAGCATTGCCAATAGACGGCGAAGGTGAAGTTCATCATCATCATCATCATCATCTTCACCAACATAAAAATGTTCATTATGGGAAACCATATTTTGCTATATTCTTGGCGGTATTTTCTTCATTGGGTGGATGGTTTTTTGGCTATGATCAAGGTGTTACTGGTGGTATAGTTGTCATGAGTTCATTTAAAAATGACTTTTGTGTTGATGTGTACGCCAATGAAAGCGTCTGTAACCTTCCAGTCGGTGCTTTGCCGACCGAATACAGACGATTTTTAGTACTCTTTACGTTAATGTATAATGTTGGTTGTTTTGTTGGTGCTGTATTTATTTCTTCATTGGTGGCTGAAAATTTTGGACGTCGGGCCATTATTTTTACGGCATCAATTCTATTTTTAATTGGTACATCAATGGTTATTTTTCCACCAGGAGGCTCGAAAAATATTATGATTTTAATACTTATTGGACGAGTTGTCGAAGGGATAGGCGTTGGTTGTTCATCATTTTCCTGTCCATTGTACGCTTCGGAAATAGCTCCAACAAATTTGCGTGGAATGCTTTCTGGCTTCATGCAAATGACTGTAGTAATCGGTTTATTTTTTGCAAATGTCGTTAACTTTTTCTTGCAAAATCATAAATGGGGTTGGCGATTGTCAAATGGAATTATTTTGGTCGCTCCAATAACAATAATGATAGGTATATTTTTCTTGCCTGAAACTCCCCGATGGTTGTTCAAAAAAAAAAGTCGAGATTTGGCCGAAAAAAGTTTAAAACGCATTCGTAGAATAGAAGATGTAACTGCTGAACTAGACGCCATTGCCGATGCTCTACAAGAAGAAGGCAATCAAGGATCCATCAAAGAATTATTTTCAACAAAGAAAATGCTTGAAAGACTTGGTGTTGGTGTAGGTATACATATTTTACAACAAGCAACCGGTATTAATCCAATATTTAATTTTGGTGGTATTATTTATGAAAGTGTTCTTGGAAAGGGTCTCGTATCATTGTTGATTTTGTCTGGCGCAAACTTATTGAGTACAATACCAGCTTTGTTCTTGTTTGACAGACTAGGTCGTCGAAATCTTCTGATATTTTGTGGCTTAGCTATGGTAGTTGGTCATATTGTAGCGGCAACCATATTTGTCACAGGTTGTAATGTAAGTGAAACTATCATAAATGGTACAACGGCAACTCAAGAAACAGTGAACTGTAGCTCAACTTCCGGTATATTAATGCTTGTTTTTACAGTTATTTTTGTAGTCTTTTTTGCACTTTCTTGGGGACCAATTGCTTGGATTTATGCAGCTGAGATTTTTCCTCTTAACGTTAGGGCTAGGGCTGTTTCAATAACAACAGGAAGCAACTGGTTTATGGGTACAATCATGTCTTATATATTGGAGTTAATATCACCATTAGGGATTCATGGAGTATTTTATCTATTTAGTGGCTTAAGTTTATTGGGTGTAGGATTTGTATATCTCTTCTGTCCAGAAACAAGAGGAGTTTTATTGGAAGATATTGAAGAAGAGTTTGACAATTTCCAGTTGAAAAATAGAACAATAGTAAAAATATTGCGTAAACCATGTCAACGGCACAGAAAACAAACCGCGAAAGTAAATGTTATTGAAATGCAATAATAATATATTTGTATGACTCTGATATGTTTTTGAAGTGTATTTGAATTATATTTTCATCTATTCAACTACAACTGATTTGTTTTAGGTTTTAAAAGTTTACACATAAAACATCAAATTTCTCTGCACTAATTCTACTTGCTTATCTCTGTTTCATAGGAACGTTGCAAAACACATTAGCAGCGACTATTTCTATTGCTTGATGACTTTGTCTCCCATAGTATACCAGTGAAGGACAACGAAATCTTACTGTTATCGAACAATTTTTCTATGTTAATGATCGTCATTGTTTGTTGTAAATATGACCATACATAGCTTTTATAGTAGACTGCAGAAGGAAACTTTTAAATGCTTTTGATTTTTTTTATAATTTGTGCATAACTAAAGAAGAATATTGACATCTTTCAAACTACATGTGTAATATTCATTGAATAGTGTCCACATTTCGAAACATATATAGATTATATTATTATCAAGTTTAATGGAAGGAATATCATCATATTCATAACTCACCGATCGATACATTGGTAAACATAAATATTTAGGCAACTCAACTAATTAATCTGCGGTACCCGTGTACGATTTTTCAGTGATTTTTGTGTTACAAAATGGATAAGCAGTTCAAAACTCATCTATCTCCACAGTTTAGGATATTGGGGTAGCTGTTTGAGAATAGGTCTTATTTAAATATAATCCATACAGTTCAGAAATCTATATAGCTATTATAGACTTTGATCAGCGGAAATCCATACTCCATACCTGCATTCCGACACACCTCCAAACCCTAGCTACACTAACACCATTTTAAAATTTTATCTGACAACGGTTGACTTCGTGAAGAAAAAAAATGAGAGTAAGTAAATAATCGTTCTAACTCGATAATATTATCTATCTACGATAAAAAAACCTTACCGAAAGAAGATAATTCGAACGAAGGAATCTCTTTTAAATTGCACATGTCTTTAAAGCAAACAAATAATTTAGATAAAAGAGATAAAATTCTATATGAATGAATCAACAACTTATAACAATAGAATTTCTGCTATTCTTTATTCATTGCATATTAAAGTTATTTTTTTGTTTTAGTTTTGTATATTATAATGAGAGCTTTTATCTATTAAATGAAAATTTGTCAAAAATGAAACAATTTACTTTTCATTTTGTAATACTATTTAAGAGATAAAATGAGTCAAAGTTGAATGTTTATTAGAAATACTTATTTGATAAATAAAAAGAAAAAAAAAAAGTTTATTGATTATTAAATTGTTGTAAATAATTATTTGTATTTTTTTGATAAATTAATTGTTGATGCATAGCTTTAAAAAGTTGTTCAGGATGAATAAAATGATCAGATTGTTGAATATGTGAAAAAGCAATCATTGGTAATTTTCTTAAAGTTCTTCCACTAAGTCCATGACTTAATTTAGCTAAATTCCATAATTTATCTTTTAATTCTTCTGAATGATATTTTGAATAAATAAGATTTTTTTCAATTAATTCAATAAAACAAGCTCGATAAATATGAAATGTTGTTTTAATTGAAGGTGGTCCAATAAATAAAATTAAATCAGATCGATCAATTAAAGCTTGATCAATTATTTCAATTAAATTTGATGTTGTTAATACAAGAATATTTGAAAATGATTTTAAACGATCAATATGTGTTAAAAGTGTATTAACAACACGTAACATATCTGATGGTTCATTTGATGATAATGATGATATTCGAGATATTGATAATGATTCTATTTCATCAATAAGAATAATAACAAATGTTAACGGATCATAACATATTCGTGTTATATCATCAAAAAATCGTGATAAATTATGAGATGATTCAGAAAACCATTTTGAAAATAATGAAGCAGCATTCAATTCATAAAAATAAAATCTATTAAATAATTCTTTCATTCTTATTGATACTTTTTGAGCTAAACCTTTACATAATGTTGTTTTACCACAACCTATAATTCAGTTTTTTATTTAGAACTAAATAGCTAATAAAACAATAAGAATTCATCTGTCGATATCGATCCTTCTCGACTTGAATTAGTTCTGTTTTTTTTCTTCGTTCTATAATCAAATTTCAATTTGATGTAAATTAAAACAATTCAAAAGGTTTTTATGATAAAATCATTTTCTAATGTTATCCTATAATAAAATCAGTAACACATAAGTAAAAACTCAATTTTTCATAGAATATCTTAGCTTACTTTAAAACTTATTATTTTGTGAAGATTTTTTCAAGATTTTTCGTATATCTATTTTTATTTTGAAGTTTGTAGAAATATTTTATCTTACTGAGATAATCAACAAGAACAAAAAAAAATATGCAATTTTCTTTTAGAAAAAAAAAACAATCTCTTTTAATTGAACTAACATAAATCAATATGATCAGATATTTGAACTTTTCTTTTTCTCACAAGAAAACTTTTTTATTTCAAAACCTAATTAATTATTTGTGTTTTTCAAATAGTATACGTAAATCGAAGGTATATATCGCAGATTAGGTTTATCGTTGCGAACACCATTTATATTCTAATCGATTTTAAAATAGTGAGGTACGACGATGGATGTTTATTATATAAACTATGACGAATAGTTAATCCGACTTGAAAAGAAATGCTAGATTGGTATAGTTTAAAAAAGAAAAATTGATAAAATGATATGATAAAAACAAACCAGGAGGTCCATACAGAAGAATTGTTTGATTACAATGAATAACAGTTCTATCAATATTAGCTTTATCAAATCTAATAACAGTAAAAACATATTGCATTAATTGAGATTTTAATGGTAAATCAAATTCAAGTGTTTCCCAAAGTGATTCAAATTGATAATGAGGTAATGACCAACGACATCCTAAATTTTGTTTTTCACCTTCAATTAAAACTTCATGATTAAATGGATGATCATCTTTTGTTTTATATAATATAATATGCATTGAATTTATTTCATTTGTTTTAATATTATTTTCTTCAAAATCACCAACATAGATTTTATTAACATATTCATTAAGAAGAGATTCTTCTATGTATCTATTCAATATTAATGAACGATTTAATTCACCTATTTACAATATTTCATTGTCAAAAAAAAGAAAGACAAGAATAAATAAATAGAAAAACCTTGTTTTCGAACAAATTGATAAACTTGTTGTGCAAGTTGATCAAGTAAATTTTCTGGTAATATTCGACAATTAACTTCAGTAAAAAATCCATTTGAAAATGCTTGAGCTAAAATTGGAATTGCTTTTTCAGCTTGTTCATTTTTAATATGATTTTTATCAATAGAAATTCTATCATTATTAGTTAATGATGATAATTTTAATTTATTTATTCGTGATCGTAAAGATTTTTTAGATTTTTGACGTCGTTTATTAATATTATTTTGTGTTGAAGATGTAACTGATATTGTATCTCGCATTTTTTTGTTTTTATTTTAAATCATAAATTAACAACAATCAATACAAATCAACTAAACATTTATTCAACTACGCGCTTCATTTGATATGAAGATTTGTTTCTTTTTCGTTTCTTTATTAAATCTTATTTGAATTTATGAAGCAATTTTTTCTTAATATTTTCATTCATATTATCATATAAGATAATCGGAAAGAATTAAAGCTTAAATTTGATAATAGAAGCGATGAAGTTTTTTTTTAAAAAATCTTCTATCTATTTAATTTTCGATGCAGAGAAAATACTTAGATTACTAACTGTCTATAAGGTCTTCATTAAATACTTACTGAACAATAAAGCAAAAAAGAATTATCTTAATTGATAGAAATAGAACTTGTAAATATTCGAAATAAAACCAAAAAAATAGACCAAGAAAAAAAACAAACAGCAGTGACTTCGGGTTGTTCAAACGTAACGCTGTGACGTTTTTGACACACTTTCTTCCAATTATCTTCGGAACTGTGAGAGCTAGAAAGTTTATTCAAACGCAATACACTTAGCATGCTCAGAATGATTTAATTTTTATAAATGTCAGTCTTTTCTATGTAGCTAATCGTTCTACGTAAGAACATCGACATGGAAGCTCATAAACTACACAGTAAGTTAGGAACTATATAAGAGTCTACAAGCTGTGCTTAGCTACAAAATTCAGAACCAAATAGGCTATGTTGTAGAGAAAAGAATCCTTCCTCGGAGAAGGTATGCTTCTCGAGATTTTTTGAAAAAATTTCTTGGTTAAAAAATTCAAAATAAGATTTTTGCAAAGTTAAAACCTCTGTTGTCGATGCCCAAATATAAATTTTTTGCAAAATAAATGTCAAATTTGTAATCAGCTTTAAGAACTGCGACTAGTTACTGACTCAGATCTGTCCAACTCGAAAAAAATTCTTTCAATTCAGATTAGAATGCGCGAGGGTGTGGGTGTTGGTGGGTGTGGGTGTGGGTGTGGCATGGGTATGGGTGTGAGTAAGGAAAGATCTATACCGACACCCACACCCGCACACACCCAAATCCATACCCACCCACACCCACACCCACACCCACACCCACACCCACACCTATACCCACACCCACACCCACCCTCACACCCACACCCACACCCACACCCACACACACCCACACCCACACCCTCACACCCACACCCACACCCACACCCAAAAACAGAAAAAACTTCAAAAAGCAGAATTTTTCTGCTAAAAGCAGAAGAGGTGGCAGCTCTGGTCATTTCATCGAAAATAACATAAAACGATTCCAAAGTATGCAAGAATGAGAAACGTACATGTCACACTGTTAAATGTGTCATAACTTGATAGTATGGAATAAATTGTGCAAAAAAAACTGATTTTCAATAATTTACGAAAAGACTCTGAAGTATTCTATAGAAAATGGTTGATACAAAATCTACCATGTTATTTAGTTTTGAAAGATTTATTTTCTAGTATAACTTTTTATAAAAAGGACCCCGCATAATTAGAGGCGAAATCTGTCCCTCCCCTTAAGATAGCATTTTAAAATTATTATTTTGTACCTCGGAGGGTGTGGGTGTGGATAAAAAGAACACCCACACTCACATCCACACGCTAACTACTTTATTTGAACGTGAACATAAACTATAAACTACTTATCACTGATTTGTTTTGCCTTTATTAAACTGAATCTGAAATAATAAATTATCAAAGAAGTTCATGACGCTTGATGTTCTTGAATTAACTGGTCGTAAAAGCGATCGAGCTCCTCTTCTGTCTCATTTGAAATGCACGTCTCGTATCGACTACCGGGTACATAATACCGATCTGATTCGCCAGTATAGTCATCCGTTAATTCATTCCAAAGATAAGCGTGGTCAGGAAAAAATTGATTGAATACCGTATAAATGTCGCGAACTATCGTTTCAGTCGGTGTTGGATCACGGCTTATAATTTTCGTAATGCACCCTCTGAAATGATGACCGTAAAGGGATATGGAAGGATGTTCACCAGTTTCAAATTCCATTGCAACAGGAGGATTAATGCCTCTTGTTCCCCATTCAAGCAATTGCTCGTCACTGATCGTATAATGAAGCTTGTCAGCTGCCTCACGAAGTAAGGAAATTGTTTTCTGGCGCGCTATCTCCCACCCAGGCAGACAATAAACGGCCAGAAAGGCGTTTTAACGCGTTAAAAAAGCGTTTACACCGTTTTAACTCGTTTAAACGCGTTTACTACTGAATTTTTCACTCTTAAATCGTTTTTACAGTTTATTTTCAACTAAATTTGACAAAACCGTTAAAAAAGCCCCAATTTCGTGTTTTTCTCGAAAAAAAACGTTTTAACAGTATTTTTCCGTTTTGCTTCGATTACCAAAAAAACAATCAAAACTACAAAAATTTTATTATTATGCTGTCAGTAAGTAATGTACGTCGTCACTAACTAGTTGTTAGTCGGTGATAGTCTGCGGTACTAATCTGTTATTAATGAGTAGTAAATTTTTAATTTAACTACTCTGTGACAGTTATACCTGGTTGGATGTATCTAAATCACGTAACACAACATAGTGCGTAATCAATCTGGTTACTTTCAAGTAAGTAGTAAGTTTTACGGCTCGTTGTTTATTAGTAACAGGCAACTGATGGTTAGAATATGTATCTTTTATTAATAAATAGCAAAAGATCAGGTCCGATATTTATCATTAGTGAGTAGGAATTTTAAACCAAGAAAACTACTTTTTTATTGCCATTAAGTCGAAGTCAAAATCGATAGCAGTAGAACGATCTTACTGAAAATACTCCGCCTAGTGAGTTTACATATTCTTTATTGATGTATTGTTAATATATCTACTCAGCAATATTCCACTCTTAATTGAAAATCGTTAAGACAAATATTATTCGGTGTTAATATCTGATGAGAATGTAACAAAGTTTATCTTTAATTTGCTGCAGAGTAACTGCCATAAACTGATTTGCTTAACAGAAATAAGCATGCAGCACATCTCATACTGAATATCTTTAACAATCAGCGCGTGGACAATTAACGTTATACAGTCAAGTGGGGTAATTCGGATCAAATTTTCAAAAATCCATATTGTTTGTTTTCGTCCTCCTCTGTTATACATCGTATGGACGAAATTT